GGATCACCCATGGCTCGGCACAACATGCGTATTTGTACTGAAATTGATAGATTTGATTGGTTTTTTGTTTCAAATGTTCCTTAGAAAACAAACCTCGTGTCTATGAATTTCGAATGACTTCACCTGCCATTCTTCGTTGGGAATGAATGATTGCATGCTGACTTGTGGATCTGCGTAGTAATCGAGCGCAGATTTTGAATTCGTCCAACTCGAAATGTTCCGACGGGCGAAATCTCTGAGAATTACCTGAGTATTTTTAATGATAAATTCAATTTGGAAAAAGTTCATTGGTGGGGAGTTCGGTACTCGTTAGAAAGCTGTCTTATTATTTGGAATTATTATAGTTATTAGGAAAAATTCAGCAGCAAATCATTCGTCATCTAACTTCAGTTTCGTTGGAGGTTGAAGAAAGGCGAAACACGCGACATCGTCCTTGAATCCGTCGCAATATTTTTGTGAAGCAACAACGAATGAGAATTCGCAAGGAGAACAGATAACGTTGAAATGTCCACCGAACTCTTTGTTAGCGGCTTTTTGAATCTCTCGCTTAGAACTTTTTGCATCTTTCTTGATGTTCTGAAAAAAAATCCATAGGATGCAGTCTCTCAAATCAACTGCTCACATCCTTTATCAATTTCCTCAATTTTTCATCATTACAATTGTCTGTCTCCGCTCTTTTTACTCTCATTCCTCGCGTCATTGGAGTGGCGTGTAGCGATGAGTCTACCTGCAAACAACCTTTTCTTTTTTTCCGTCTAGTCCATCAGATAGGAAAAGAAACAGCGGTCCTGTGGTGTAGTGGTTATCACGTCTGCTTCACACGCAGAAGGTCGTCGGTTCGAACCCGGCCAGGACCTACTTTTTGTTTCAAATCCTATTTTTTACCTCAGTTCTTGTGGCAGCCTCCTCCAATAATTTCACTGGACTAGAGTTCTCGATTTGAGTTGTGACCTCATCTCTCATCAACGACAGAATTCCTTCCATTTCTTTCATTAAGTGTGAGATTCTATGAAGACCGTTTACTTTTTCCGATTCTATTCTAGGGCTCAGTCTAATTCCGGCTTTTCGTGTTCTGTTTGTTGTAATTTCCAGAATCTCGTTTTTCATTCTTTGCACTTCCCTAGCATCCAACGTTGGAAGTAATTGCAGTGTTTTCTGAAAACAAATCTCTTATTCGAAAAAACGAGTTTTCATAGAAAAAAAACCTGATGTTCAACTTCGAAGTTAAGAGTCGGCCGAACAGTAGTGACGTCTTCCTCGTCTCCAACGTCAGCAAGTATTTTGTGTTGAGAAATTTCAAACAAACGTTGGAGGGCCGAACATTTCACAGTTTCCTTGATTTGTTACATGGTGCGTCTGGAGCTGGGCAGCTGGGCCCTACTAATGGACACGGTTCTTCCGTACAGCCACAGCAACATAATTCTGTTCTAACTGGAGCAGAAAGAATTGAATGAGCAAAGCAAGCTAGAAATAAAAGAATCTGGAAAATATATAAGTAAAGAAATCAGTAACAATATAACTCGCCATTATCAAGAATCGAATGTAATGATTGTTATTGTTTTGAATAGTCTTCAGCTTCTAATGTAGGAAGGCGCCAATCCGATTGACCCATATCTTACTAATTATGTACACATACAAGTATATCGCCGACCCAGTTGGAAAACCAGTCTTACTTTCAATTGGGGTAAAAGTGAGTAATTTATATTTTTCTTCGCAAGTCAAAGAAAAGACAATTATGAAAACAGTCAAGAGAATGCTCATCTCATTCGATAAAAAATAACTGGTAATTCAGAATTTGTTGAAAAAAAACAGTACACCTAATTTCTCTCTCGTTCTTTATTTCTGCATCTTATCATGATGCCCTTGCCTGTCCGGTCAGTCTCGCCAAATTCCCTAATCGTTTACCACATAGAAATTTTGACGGTCATTTTTCATTTTCGTTCTGATTCCCAACATATTTGATGCGGTATTTTGTACTTCTTTCTGTTCTGTTTTCCGAAATTATTCTCGCTGAAAATGAAACAACGACCATGGAATTTGTACCGATTGGAAAGGATACATCAGCAGCGATTGTTCCAGTTAACAACAAGCCTATAGAAAGCACCGTAGTATCTCACAAAGTTTTCAAAGAAGATGGAATAAAATATACTGAAATCGTGAGGAGAACTCCATCTGGTGGTATTCAAACATCTCATATCAAGGGGACTGTGGTGAGTTTTTTTTCAAAATGGTTTCATAGAAATCTCTATATTTGAATGCTTCAGAATCCCTCAATTCTTCCGGTTCCTGTTCCGAACTTATCAGGATTGATGAGTAGGATTCAAACAAGAATAGCGAGTCGAATGGAAGTCTCATCACCGCCAAGAAAGGAATATTATCCGCCAGATATGGATCCATTGGGTAGAGCAGACGGGTGAGTCTCTTTCAAAATAATGATTGATTTTTAGAAGTTTGTTACTAATATGGATTCTAGGTCACTGCTATTTTCCGATCATATCTAACACAAAACTAACACAAAGGCCCCTACAAAAATTTTTTGATATTATAATTAACATTTTGTCTGTTGACTACTTTTTGATATCTGTTACAAGAACTGAGATATATGAGCTAAAAGTTAACAGTTTGGATGGGAGGAAATACAGTAGCTTTACACTACACCTGGCACTATGCCAAATAGTCAAAATCATCCACGACCATAAATCTGACAGAGCAAAAGCTATACTTATTCGTATTTCAGACCCATCTATCATCGTACAACTGGATTCGAACCCCTCCCAAGACATCCATATCCTCCACCACCGTATCCTCCCATGATGATGTATCCTCCATCCCCAGATAGTCTGATGGGAAGAGTTGGAAGTATGACTGGAAACATTCTTGATAATGTGATGGAATTTGTTATGGGTCGCAGGAGGTGATAACCTGATTGTGAACTCTTTCTTATATAAAGGTTTAATTACCCAAGTTTGAGATTCCACACGTGTCATCTACACGAGTAAAGCATTCTACCACACACTAGCTGGAGTTGCGATAGGACAAGGAAAGCTACACACCCGACCACCATTTGCATTTTAGTTTAGATTTTTTATTTATTTGTTTTTCTGCAAGAAACAATAAGAAAATGACATCTGGAAACATAGAAAGTCATGAAAAAATAGGGAAAAAAGCGAAAAAAAAATACACGTCTTTAAGAAAAGGGCGGTGGTGTGAAGTGGAAAAGTGAAGGAAACGAACTGAGAAGAGGAAGGATGAGGAAATAAATTAGTATTTGTGAAAATATAGGTAGATAACTGAAAAAAGTGAGAGTTAGTGATAATTTGTGGGGGTTAGAAAAAGGCTTTAAAAAAAATGATGAAATTCTGATTCGAAGACACCGGCTCAGAACTGAATGGGACAATTGGGACAGGGTATAAAAAGTGGGTAAGCAAAAATTTAATGGTTTAAAAAAAAGCAAAAATCGATCGATCTAAAGAATGAGAATGGAACGAAATAAGGATCAGATCATCGGAAATGGAGAGAACGACAAAAAAGAGAAAAGGCATTTAGTGGAAAGGAGAAGATCATCTTGATTGGCAACCGACGAATTCGGATAGCTTCAACGGATATTCCTGCACCACCTTGAACTTCTTGGTGTTGTAGACCTGGAAACATAAAAGTCAATCTAGAAATCCTTTTTTTCTCAAACCCACCTTTAACTTATTTGTCTTGGTGTACATGAGAAGTGTTTCTCCGGCTCCATTGTATACGATTCCGAGAAGATCGCGTGGAAGATTCGGGAAGTATTTCCGGGTGTGTCCAGTGAATGTCGCCAAGTTCCAATAGGCATCGTAAATGATGAAATGCTCACCCTGAAAACCACATGACTGAGTTTTGCTTGTCAATTCAGGATCTGAAGTTCATATAAAACTTACACTTAGAACCACTTGGTTTCCATCGGCCCATTCGAATGCTGACAGCGGATTGATTGTGATGTTACGTGGAAGTTCTTGAGGAGTGTTCTTTGCCAATTGGAATCGACGATGTTTTCTGTTCCAGCGGAATCTGTATGCAGTACGTCCTTCAAAGAGAATCGTAACTCCGGATCGAGAGTTTGTCAATGCAGCAGTCACAGTTCTTGGTCCACCAGAGAACAAATCACTGATTAGATAGGATGCCTTCTGTGGTAGTCCATCCTCGAACCATATTTGGTAGACCTTCTCACGAGCGAACACATAAGTTCTTCCATTGTATCCTTTTGTGATTGCATCAAACTTCTCTGGGCACATATCAAAAGACAATGCCATCGCTGCCTTCTTTGGTACGACAACAGTCTTCTTCGGAGCAACATGAGTGATTCTCCATGGAGCCAGAATTAGATCACGACGTTCACGTCCGAGCACAACCTTCTGTTGAAGTTGTTGCTTATTTTTACGGCGTCGGATGGTTGGATCTTGACCGCTTGCTCTGATCATCTCCCATTTCGTCTGGCTATTCATTCGTGGCAATGTTGGAACATCTTCCGAAATCACTTCGTATTGAGCTTCATCAGCAATCTATAAAACAGAAAATTCACAAAATTTCTAGAAAAAATCTAACCTCCCAGTCCGATTCGTGTTTGTAAAAAGTGTCCTCAATTTCCGAGTTAGCTCCTTTTTCCACGAATCGACCCAATGCTGTTGATATCAGCAGAAGAACCACAAGTGGCTTCCTCATTCTGGAATAAAAAGAAAAGGATGTTCTTCAGAAGAGAATCGAACAAAAATGAAGAGGAAAAGTGTTTGTCTCCAGATTGCCTCATACTCTGACTCCGCCCCTTACACAGCACATTGGTATGGTGACAGGCAGAGTCATAGTGAGAGAGTATGGAATAACGAGAGATTCGAAGAGAAATATGAAGCGGTGTCCGGCAGATGAGCAGTCTTTTTTGGAGGAAAAGGGAGAGGAGGGACGGTTTCGAAAGTGTAAATAAGGGAAGAGGTCGAGTGGAAAGTTAGGAGAAAACTTCAAAGAGAATGGACGATTTGAAGCAATGGACACATCTGCCAGGAGTTACAAAAAGCAATCATGATGACACATTCTGGTTGGCTACCGTTAGTTTTCTGTTGTTTAAGAAGCCGAGAGAGGATGGAAACGTAAACATTTTTCAATTTACCTTCAGATATCTTTACTATTATAATCAAAAATAGATCCCTCCACAGAATCTCCTGGAAGGTTCTACACATCAAAGAATCTAGCCGATAGTAAACCACACGATGACAGAAATTTGAGAAGATTGATAGAAAAGACGAAGGTGTCAAACCACGGTTTACAAGTACCTTCATGTTTTGCATATTTCAAGAGTAGGTGGGAAGATAGAAAAGAGAACAAAAAAAGCGAGGAAAAGAGGACAAGGAAATGATGGGTGAGAAAAAACTGTTAAATTACCAAGTCAATTGGGTTGTAGAGATGATTTCTCACGCGAAAATGATAGGTTTTGGTTTTGCAAAGAAAGTGTGAGAAACGGAAAGTTTTGGGTTTTGCGAAGAACCACATCGAATTAGGTAAATAGCAATAGCTAAAGTTAAATGTGCTTCAGAGAAAAGTTGGGTTTTAACAAGTTACAACTTTCGTATGGAATTCACCAGCTGGGCTAACAAAAAAGACGTCTTGAAAAAGTGACTCTGGTACTCAATCTGAAATACGAAGTTACACAAAATGTATAAAAAAGTTTATGAAAATGTATCACATGCTAAAATATACAATTAGAAAAATTGTCATCACATTTTACTGCATTTCCTTTTATCTCATTCAAATCGTCAACTTTGAGATCAAGCTCAAGTGTCTCGATTCCTGTGAAAAATATCAAAGTTTTTTCAACTGATAAAATTCTGGTGGTGTCATGATAAATAATTTATCAATTAACGAAACTTTGAAATCTTTTACAGAAATCGAGATAATTGAGCCCAAAGTTGACGGTTGTGCTCCGGCTTTAAAATTTTAGGTTCAAGGGTTATTTCTCATTTGGAATGAAACTGGTTTCACAGATTTTTGATAGCTATTCTAGTCAGGCTGCCAAAGTTTGACGGGGACTAATTGGATGCACTGTATTAGAGAAGTTACTGTAATTTTAAACGATTTGCTCGGAAGTGGTAATAATGTGTCTAGACCAGTAATGTATTTGGAGAGCTAATCAAACCAATCACCTCAATAATCGGTATAATAAATTTGAAATTTTGAATTCAAAACGAACTTTCTAGTAAGAGATCAAACACCGAATTCAAACGAAATGTGGAATTTGAATCAATATCAATTATGATATCTCATCATTACTATCATCAATACCATACATATCCCTTTCTCTTCCCGTCGCTCTTCAACTTTCACTCCTTTCTCTTTTCTCTTTTGAGATTTGAACGTGTTTGCGATACAAAAGAGCCGGGAGGTCTTCACCGCTCTGTCGCCAACTCAACTCCTCCCGCCACAGAAACTTATTTGTTCAAATTATGTCTTGTACAATAAGTGTGCGGCTCCTTGTTCAACCATGACACTTTTGTTTTCCGAAGAACATAGGCAAGGGAGTAGCTCATGCATCGGGGAGCCATCACGCTGGTGAACACTGGCCGAAAAGCTTTTTCTTCTTTTTCGCGCGCCCTCCAAGTGCTCATAATTATGACGAATTGCTCTTTTGTAACCTTCTTGCCAAGTTCACTTTTTCGGAACGGCGGTATCAAAACACACACACATAAAAAAGAATAACGAATTCCTAAAAAGTCGGCACTTTTAAAAAGGGTTCCCACACATTACCTTTGTTCGCAAAAAGGCACCAAAAATAATATGCATGAGAATGGCAAAGAAAACATTTTGAATTAACCGACATGGAAATATGAGGGTAAATTTGAAGAGGGTGGAAGATCGTAACTGTTTGACCAGTTTATGATAAGGGAAAAAAAGCGACGGGCAATTTCTCGGAAAACTCAATGAACAGTGACCACATAATCCGACAAAAAAAGAAACTAGTGGAAAACTTCTAGAATCGATTTTCAAGCAGAAATGAAACATAAAACTTTCTAGATTCGCAATTTCGATTTTTTATGACATCAAGGGACACAAAGGACAATGAATGGCCTCCTCAACTTTCAACTTTGAGTCAACTTAGCTCGGTTCCTGAGAAAAATATCAAAAAGTGATTAACTAATAAAATATTTGTGATACTATGATAAATATTTTCTCAATTAAACACTTTGATATCATTTACAGGAAATGAGATATATGCGTTCAAAGTTTTCAGTATGGGGGGGGGGGGGGGGAGTTATTAGAGGGTCCCGGTTATTAAAATTCAGAAGTTCGAAAAAACGTCTGAAACTTATCTAAAATCTTATTAACGGTTTCGATATAGTTTTTCTGATAACCAAAAAAGGAGTTACACTAGTTTTTCCACATCACTTTAGCGATAATAAAACAGTTCAATTGAATCAAGAATAAGTTCCTAATTTTGGTCTCTCCCGTTTTTTTTTGAAAACATTCAACTTCCGGAAGTTATCAAAACATGGTTGTTTATTCTCAAATTCCTCAAAACTTGATACCACTGTTATTTTTTTGGACTTAGTCTCCATTTTTTCAAGGTTGTTTTTTCAGATATTTGATACCCCTGAATTGAGGTTTTAGTACCCCTAGTCAAGTAAACCCAATGAGCCCAAAATTTTTCAACCCGTCAAATCATTTCTGTTCTCGGATTTGTCTCCCTGCAGTTTTAGTTTCAGTCACCACCCGACTGACCCTAAAATAGCAATGACTTTTCCCGTAACAGGACTCTTTCGAATTTTCTCTCGGAATACTCTCATTTTTGCTCTCTATCATTTCGTTGACAATCATTACACTTAGACCATTAGGAGAGTTGCACACGTAAACGTAGTAAACTGATTAGGTCATCGGTATGGCAAACATTCAAAGAATGATAGAATTTTTCACAAATAGACAGAACGTTTCTGAATACACCAACTTCTGAATCAGAATCTAAAACATGATGAGCAATTGATGAGGCATTCGAGGAAGAAAAAAAAATACTAACAAAGTGAGAAAGTAGAAAAGGGCAGTAGGAGGGAATCGCCACAAACAGTTCAAACCAAAAGTCAGTAATCTAACAAGTAAGCAAAAACTTGTTAGGTGCACTTTTTTTCCGGGCGCGATTCGAGTAGTGGGGGTTAAAACAGAAAAAGGTCGGGTGGCGCAATGTGGCCAAGAACGGAAAAAGAAAAGAGAAGCGGCTTTTGCATGTTCACCCTTGTTTGCTTATCATAATTTCAAGAGAATCGCTCACGCCGCTACACAATTACGAGGCGTCGGCGACTGTTGATGGGAAGAGGTGGAGACTGACAAAGCTCTCTTGTTCATCAAAAGAGATCAGACATTCACAAAAATCAACGGGATTTATTTTTAGATCTAATAGAGAGGTTGTGACAACGTGTGAAGAAGTGTAGAGAATACTGTAGGTTTGGCCAACATGGCTCTGTGATCATTGAATTTCAGACAACTGCGATATCACATAAATTCAAAAACATCTCAAAAATTGCTTTATAATTTCGAACAAAATGTACAGTAGAACAGTTCAAAAAAATCTCAAATATACCCAAATTCGCAGTTTACCGTACTAGTTCTCATTGAGCTGTAATTCTCGATTTTCTCAGGTTCCCGTTTACTTCGAATCAAATAGAAGATGTATCTTAAACCATATACCGTAAAACCTGTATTAGAAGGTCCTCTTTAATAGGAGGGCCCCTCTAATATAAGGGCCCTCTGAGTGATGATTGAAAAGTAGAAGTATCCCCTTCCAAATGTGATGTTTGAAATTAAAAATTTCCGTGCGGTTTCGGTGAAAAATATTCCAAAAGATCCACAGTTTCACCGAAAAATATGTTTTGAAACAAAATGGACCGAATGATAGAAGACCCCTCCGGAGACACCTTGGAACAACAGAAGACCCCCTTAATACATACTTCACTGTGAATTAATCAAAACAATGAAGAAAAATAAGTACAATTAGTTGTTATGACTACACAAGAAAAATAAAGAAACGGTCCTCCTTTTCTTGCATATTATCATATCAGTATATGGAATGATGTTGCAACAAACTCATCAAAAATTAGTAGTTTGCTTATCGAAACCCATCGGGGCCACCAAGCTATCACCTACACAATTACACTTACAAACGTATACAACAAACATTGGCGCCCTTATCACAATGGACATTGAAAGAAAAGACACAGGACGCACCTTCTCAATACGATGGCGCAATCTCTGGAGGTAGAGGAATAATTGGATTGCTATGATACATATACAAAGAACAAATACAGACGTATAGAGATTGTAGATGAAGTTGTGTTCCTCCTCTTTTTCATTTTTGTTTCTTTTCCCAGCATCCAAAGCACCGAAAAAATGAAAAAGAGTCACAACAAACGCACTCTATGATACAATACATATTCGGTCTAGTACGATGACGTTCCGCATTATTTGTTCTGTTCTGGCACATTGCCAGTGTATATTTTTTGATAAATAAAACTAATACAAAAAATAGAATCGAGAAAAAGAAAAAATTGGTTTAGCAGTATGGGTGGTCTCCCTCTGTGATAAGATTTCGAACGGAAGGATATGTGTAGACAAAGAAAATCTTGAGTGTGGCGGCTTGCATTGTGTAAGAGCTGATCACTGTATTTGTATTGTGTTTTCAAAACTTACAAAACCGCAAAAGAAGAAAAACGAAACGACGAAGAAGGAGAAGTCTCACGAGTAATCTTATTATACTTGCCGAAGAGTCTCCGAGCATTTTTATCAGTGTCTGATATTTCCGAATTGGTGTGGCAATGGTAGTCGTAAAGCCTTCAAATTTGCAAGTGATAATGATAGAAGTGTTTGGATTGTGATACGAAAATAATTATAGAAAAATAAGAAAAGCGGAGGAAAACTAGTGCTTTTTGTACGATTATGTTTTTCGAAAGATCATCTAATCAGGGAAAACAACACAGGGAAACTGAATAAAATTGGTCCGCGACAACATGTTTGTAACATGTTTGTAACATGTTTGTAACGTGGGTTAACTTACTAGGAAGAAAAGAACGCCAACTTCCGAAATTCCAAACTACCGTATTTCCTCTAATAGAAACCCACCCAAACAGTTAACTTTGGGCTCAACAAATTTTAGTTGGCTTTCACAGGAATGTGGATGGGCTTCTATTAGAGAAAATACGGTATTTTCATCTTGTAACCAATAACTGAAAGCGAAAGCTAATGATGGACACCGACAAATTCAATTGAACCGTATAAATGTAATTAGACTTTCATGCAAATTGACTTGAAATGTTCATTAGGAAAACTTTAATTCCCAGGTGCGTTAATCAAGCATAGTACTGATAGCTATCGTATCCGTTGGTCGTCTTCTTATTGCTGCTCAGTGCTTTATCCACGTATCTATACTGGATGGTGACTGTGCTGCTACCGTATCTCTGGTGAAGAACAATTGGAGTCGGGTTCAGCTTGCTCTCGAATACTTGGTTCATTATGGTAGAATCATCACTGCAGCAGGCACTGAAAAAAAATCACTAGTGAATCAGTGAGCTTAAATGATATCTTACAGTGGGTTTGTCATTCTTGGATCGCCCATGACTTTCATCTCGACTCCATTGTAGTTGCATCCGTAGGCACATGTGAAATCTTTCAGACCCACAAGTTTCACTTCGATCGTCTTGTCGGCTGGCGCATTGATTATGAGATGAGCCATGTAGTAGTTAGTGGTGAGCACGTCGCTGTTGTATCCGAAACTCACCCAGTATCCCTTCCAGTAGTTATCAGCAGTAAGCATGATCGAGTTTGATGGCTGAAATATTTCATAGTGATTCATTTTTTAAGCACTATTTGCCCACCTTTTGATCACAGAGGGTTCCACCATATCCAGTTGGACAAACGCATGTATTGCATGTGGATGGATTGGTATATCCACCATTTTTGCAAGCAAGATTTGTCAAACAAGAGCAAGAATACCGAGAGTTGATGTTGACAATATCATAGAAAGATACTCGACGAAGACCCATTGTCTTCTCAAAAGCTCCTTGTTTCGGGTACAATGTTCCGTCTCCCCATGTATTGTAGCGGTACAACAATGTACTTCCATACTCAAATGGAACAGCGTTGTAAGTCGTTTCTGCGGTTTCCATTGCCAAATTGCTGAGCATGTTTTCTGGTACTTCAGTCAGATTCACGGACAGATAGTTGTTACGATCGTAGCGAGAATGAGTGTGGAAGATTCCCAAAGTGTGCATGATCTCGTGTACCGCGGTTCCGAACTTAAAAATAGAAATTAGATAAGGTTAATTTGATTCCCTACAATAGAACATCCATCTCCGAACCACAATAGCTGTTCTCCTCCGTTCATTCCAATATAAGAAGCACATCCTCCATCATTCATGAAGCGAAGTCTGTTAGCAGCAGTGCTGCTCTCCTCGAAAGTGACACAGGTCTGGGATGCGATATACTTCATTGCAGTGCTCATCAGTTCTCTTTTGAGGGAGGCTGAAAACTCGGATTCAAAATTAAGTGTGGCAACGCTGCTTACTGAATTCAGAGTCGAAAGTATAGTAGACTTTTCCGTTGGGCCACTTTTTCCATTTCTTGGTGATTTGTCTTTTGACACGGTTTCCGACATCGTTCATAGCGCTAGGTTGTTCTTGGGTCAGCATGATATCTCCTTCGATTATCCCTTCTCGTCCTCGATTCAATTCCACTTCATCCAGATCTCTTCGGATGACAGATCCAACCACCAGAACGACGACCAAGGAGAGAAGTATGAGAATGGGTCGCGGTAGCATGTTGAAGTGAATTTCATCTCCTTCCAGCATTGTTTTATACTTTCTCCATTTATGAATATTGATTAAGTTCCCATGATTATACAGAAGGAAGTTGATAAGTTTTGCAGGAGAAGCACCTTTTTTTGAGAGAACCTGTGATTGTGGGTGGAAAGATCAAAGAAACAACTGAAATTTGAGTAAACTCATCATAAAATCAACCGAAAGCTGTGCTTGAAAAAACATCATTTTTTGACCAGAGAATTTCAAGCATAAGTTATGTTACACAACTGATACCGTATTTCCTCGAATCGAAGCTCATCCAATGCGTCAACTTTGAGCCCATGCATCTCATTTCCCATTAAATATATCAAGAACTGGTCAACTTACGAAATCTTTATTATAATGTCTGAAATATATTGTCAGTTGACCACTTTTTGATATCGGCCATCGGAACCAAGAGAAATTGGCTCAAAGTTGAAAGTTAAAGGTGATTCTATTACAGTGAGTACGGTAACTAATATTTCTCGTGAACTCTCGGTTAGATAACTACAATAGATAATCTTAAATAAAACTAATAGTAGTTAATTAATTACCTCCGTGAAAGCCCAACAAAATGTTGGCAAAGGCCAAGTATCAGAAAATTAAGGAAAAATCAGTACTCAGTTTTCCAACGTTTAAGTTCAGGCTCAGCTTGGATTTGGATTTCGTTAATTTTAAAAATAATTGGATTTCGTTAATTTTAAAAAACAAGGGATAACTAAATGAGGGAAAAATTTAGAATTTAGAAAAATAAGCTAAATTCTAAATAAGCTAAATTTAATTCCCGAAAAACGAGTTGCAGGAGCTGATTGGCGTCCAGGGACACCCAACACAGCAAGAACAGCTTCCAGGACGTTTTTGCTTGGATTCGAATCAAGATGAAAAGGAATCCGAGATAGAATGGAAGATGAGGGATTGGAAATTTTAAAAGCTTCGTTTAAAATGTTTATAAACTTTTGTTTGGTTTGTTTTAGTTGAGAGTTTTTTAAAAATCTCGAAAAAATGAAATGTTCACTGAAATATTTGTTCTGAAAATTCGCAAAAGTTTGAAAAATGAAAAAATGTTTTTACAATGAAATCTCTGAAATGTTTCAAAATTATCCATTTTTACAGTATAATAGATTTAGGACGCCCGTCAGTAGTAACGCCGGTTGTTGGACCAATTTCAGAAAACTGAATAGAACTGAATAGAATCTGACGAGGTAAATAAATCTTTTAAAAAATCTCTGAAAATTATTTGGATTTCAGATGTCGATTTTCATGGAATGAGAGGATTTTGGATGACAAGGGACCGAGTCGCGTCGAAGAGTCGATCTTTGTGAACTTGATGTTGCCTGTTTCTTTTTTTCCTTCCTTGCGCTTATTGTCTTCGGTCGTCTTCGTCGTGATGTCGTTAGAGTCTGTCGTTCTTGTCGTTCTAGTTCTCGTGATGGTCCTTCCGGTTGAGTCTTGAATTCGTTCTCTGATCTATTTGCTTTGTCGTGCCTGTCTTGTCGTTGAGCTACGTCTATGAAACATGTTGTCGCAAAATTCTGAAGAAAACATGTACTTAAGTCTGAAAATCTAAAAATGTTATCGTAACTGCAGAATTATTGGATTTGGGAGAAACTTTATTAAAGCCTGAATAAAGAATTTGAGAACCCGGGACGGAAGGAAGTTGTGTAAATTTTTGAGAACGTTAAATAAATCTCTTTGATTTCTTTAAAAATAAACTCTTTAAAAACAAATGATGTTCTTTGGATTTGTCGTTTCATCGCTTTATGGTGATCTCGATTCAATAACTTTCCATCAGAAGTTACGAAACACAACTTTCAAAATGTTCGCTTTATTAAATCGCGCCGAAGGCGCACCAATTTGCTGGTTGAAATATAAATTTGTGGGCATCGGTAGAAATTTTTATTTTGTACAGCTTCGAAAAGCTTCTGTATGAAAAACTCGATGAGACATTCAAACACAGTATTCTGAAGATCTAAGGATTGAACGGTAAAAATCAACACCCTGAAATAGGCCCGTTCATACCTATACTTTAATTAATTTCGCAACGAAAATGGAAAGCAACACAATTTATTCAAACATTTATCATCATAATTATCCCACAGTCTGCTTGACGAATCTCGGTTGTCCGGTGACACCTTCTGGCTGAATCTCTCCTGGGACATCAACTAAAGCAGTTTTCTGAGCGTAGCCGTTCTGCAAAGGAACTTTTCTTGATAGGGAACAAGTTGTGTCCACTCTAACTATTCCAGAACGTTGATCCTGAGAAATAATTGCCATACTCGAAGCAGCGACCAAGAGGACGAAAAGGAGAGAGTAGAGGAATCGCATGACTGAAGTTGAGTCAGATGCTTCTACGTTCCTTCCGGTGTCTTTTGAACCAACAATTTTTCTCATAGTTTGCATTATGCAAAACTTGAAGTGGTTGAAATTCAAATTGTGCGAAAATGGAAAGAAATAAAAGACCTCGAAGAATGCTCAAACATCATCACCAGATTGAAGATGAAACTTCTTTCCATCGTATTCTTTGTGGCTCTCTTCACCGCTGGAGTCGCTTTTCGGAAAGCTGCAGATCAATCATCCGCATTTCTGGATCACGGGGAAATCGTCCTCGAGGATAAGCCTGACATCCCAGGAAACATCGCAGGACCAGATGGAAACCTCCCAACTCATGTCACCTTCAGCGACGTTGAAGAAGAAGCGACGACAAAGATAATTTATCAGCGATAACTATTCTTGATATCTTATTAAATCATTTCATACCACAAAGCATTTAGACAAGCAAAGAAAAGCAATTTAAGTTTTCATGAATAGGTTTTCCTCCGTTTGCACTCTACAGGCAAACTTATCACCAATTGCCCTTGTCCTCTTTCCAGTTTCTTCTGTCATCTTCTCACTTCCTCTTTTGCGTAATTGCGTCGACCGCCAAGTGTAATTTGGATCCGCCCATAGTACAACCTTGGAAATTTCTCATATAAATGGAAGGTTAGCATTCATTTTCATCAGTTCTTCAGACATGGAGTTCGAGCAACGCATCAAAGCCTACCGCTTTGTGGCCTATTCGGCTGTCGCTTTCTCGGTTGTTGCCGTTCTTTCGGTATGCATCACTCTTCCAATGGTGCACAACTATGTTCACCATGTCAAGAGAACCATGAACCAGGAGGTTCAATTCTGCCGTGTAAGTTTCAATATTTCTTTCCTATTAGATACCTTTTTCAATTCTTTATTTTAGGGATCCGCCAAGGACATCTGGTCTGAGGTCAACCAACTCAAGAGCATCCAACACGCCAACAGAACCGCCCGTCAAGCTGGATACGATGCTGGAGTGAACGGAGGATCCGCCTCTGCTGGAGGATGTGATGCTTGCTGCTTGCCAGGAGCTGCTGGACCAGCAGGAACTCCAGGAAAGCCAGGACGTTCAGGAAAGCCAGGAGCACCAGGACTTCCAGGAAACCCAGGACGCCCACCACAGCAACCATGTGACCCAGTCACCCCACCA